ATATCCAGTGAGTGGTGTCAAGCTGGCCACACCCACCCAGTTGGCCACGCCCATAAATCATATTCTCCAACGAGACTCATCCATAGCCCAGAGTCAGCAATCATGCTCTCCCGTTAGAATTTTGTGCTGCAGAAACTTCAGTCACCTAGTTACTATCTTTGAAAACATTTATGGAATGCACTTTCGGTTTGCAAGCTGCTGCGCTGCTCTTTCAAACCCCTTTCCCCCCCCTCCCTTTCCGTTGGCAACTCTAAAAAGACCATAGAAATATTTTAGGAGTTGACACAGCGATTCTCCGTCTAACCAAGCCTTTTTCATCCTGCAGGCTCAGAGGAAGAAATGTTCCTTTTCCCACCAGGGTGGGAACAGGGCAAAAGCCCTGTGGTCTCCTTGTCGAGCAGCCCGGGCAGCCGGATGGTCAAACATGCCAGCACCCAGACCGATCAGGCTAGCCCGGCAACTGAGGACCGAGAACAGCTGGCAGAGGATTGCAACAAAACTCAGAAGCAACTCATGGCACTGGTGAAGGAGCTGGAAAAGGTGAGGATAATCGACAGGGGAAATAATAAGAATCAATGTTTTTCTCAACCCCGGGCACGTTAAGATGTGTGGAGTTCACCGGCCAGATTTGTGGCATCTTAACAGTACCATGAACACATTTTTTTTTTACGACAGCTTTGTAGAAAATAGGCATTTACTGGCCAAACTGGCCCCGCAGAGAACCACTGGCTTGTTTAAACAACTGTGGCATATATTGCATTCAGTTTCGGTCAGCGCACTATAAAAATAGACGTTGATACTCTAGAAAAAGTACAGATGATGAGGGGATTGGAGGCTAAAACATACGACGAACGATTGCAGGAACTGGGCATGGTTAGTCTAGTGAAGAGAAGGACCAGGGGAGACAGGAGAGCAGTGTTTCAATATTTGAGGGGCTGCCCCAGAGAGGAGGAAGGGGGTCAAGCTATTTTCTAAAGCACCTGCAGGCCAGACAAGGAATAATGGATGGAAACTGAACAAGGAGAAGAGTCAACCTGGAAATAATAGGCTGAAGACAGGTCCTAGGTGCTCTCCGAGCCTGGTTGTTTCCTTGCAGACATTTCATGACCCAACTAGGTAACATCATCAGGGCTAGAAGAGAGTGGGGTTTGCTCTTATTTTTTTATGTACTCGTGGCATGCCCTGTTCGGTGTTGGTGGGAGTGATCTTGGAGGGTCTTTGGTTTGGGCTGTCTGCTGTTTGCTTATTTGGCATGTCCTTGATTGGGGTATTAAGAAATATTGTTTACCACTTGTTTATAAGAAGTAAACAATACCCCCAATCAAGGAACCGCCAAACAAGCTGACAGTCATCAACAGCCTAATCACCAAGAACACTCCCACTAACACTGACAGGGCAAGCCACGAGAATATAAATATATAAAATAGTATAGTAGTATATTAAAAATAAGTGCAAACCCCACTTCCCTTCTAGCTCTGCAAGAAAACAACCAAGCCCAGAGAGCACCAAGGACCCCACAGTTCTCCTCTTCCTCCCTCCTAGCACTGATGAAGTTACCTACTTTGGTAATGAAATGTCTACAAGAAAACAACCAAGCCCAGAGAGCACCAAGGACCCCACAGTTCTCCTCCTCCTCCTCCCCTCTCCGCAAATGTGACTCCCTTCTAGCACTGATGATGTTACCTAGTTGGGTCATAAAATGTCTACAAGAAAACAAGCAAGCTGAGAGAGCACCAAAACCCCCAGTCCTCCTCCTCCTCTCTGCAAATCCCACTCCCTTCTAGCACTGATGATGTTACCTAGTTTGGTAATGAAACATCTGCAAGAAAACCACCAAGCTCAGAGAGTCTATGGTCTGGGCAAGCAAGCCCAGAGAGCACCAAGGACCCCATAGTTCTCCTCCTCCACCTCCTCCTCCTCCTCCCCTGACAAACCCCACTGCCTCCTAGCACTGATGATGTCACCTAGTTTGGTCATGAAACGTCTGCAAGAAAGCCACCAAGCTCAGAGGGTCTATGGAGATTCTAAGTCATCCAGCTCATGATTGTCCCAAAGGTGCTTTTTTATTGTTTTTTCTTCAAGAGGCAACTCTTGATTTTTCTGGGCTTCCTCCTCTCTTTCAAAGAAGAAAACAAACAAACAAAATTGCCTCTTGGAGGGGGGGGGAAGCAGGTTTGGGGCCACCCAGCCCCGGGGAGCCCGGGGGGGGGGGGGGGCTTCTGCATGCCCCCCTCCCATCATTCCGTCTCTAAACCCCCTTGCTCTGACCTGCAGGAACGGGACAGGCTGCTGACCGCCAACCAGTCCCTTCAGAACCGCTACACGCAGCTGGAAGCCGAGAACAGGAGGCTCTTGAAAACGGGCAGCCCAGCATCCCTCTACGAAATCGCGCCTCGGTTTATCTGAGCCCAGCTGGTCGGTTGCCAACAAACTCTGGGAACTTAAGAAGGGAGCTTTCCTGAATGGGGCAAGCATCGGGCCTCAGGCGGGCCGAGAGAGCGGGAGGAAAGGGCTGGCGGAGGAAGCCATCATCCGCCGAAAAACCCAACGGGCAAAGAAGAAGAAAATTTGGGAGCAGAGAAGAAGACGCTGTCCTAGGGGAGGGTTTTGTTCATGTCCAGCCGAGCAGCTCTCTGGTTGAAGCCACCTTGGCAGTCCGAGAAGGAACGGGCCAAATCCGAGTCCTTTACCAACGCACCTTCGGAT